CCTTTTTTTTTTTTTTTCCTTTTTGTGAGGTGATCTCTCACCTTGTAGCCCATGTTGGCCTTGTTTTCTTTTTAGGTTTTTGAGATAAATGTCCTGGAATTTTTAGTCCTTCTGTCACAAGCTTCCTGAGAGCTGGGTTTCAGGTATGAGTGAGCTCCTAGGCCTGACTAGATGATTTTAGCAGATTTACTTACCAACTTGTAACTTAGTGTAATAGTCACTTTCCACAGTTGTTTCCCTAAATGATCCATTCTACTTTAGAAAGTTTCACTTTGCGGGAATTGGGTGATTAGGTTGTAAAGGACTCTGTAGCAGGTCTTCCTTCCCAAGCTCTTAAAGAAGCCCCTGAGTGAACTAGAAACCTCACAAGGGAAACCCAGGGAAGATGACTTTGGATAATGGTGCTTACCACCAAGCCTGACAACCTGAGGTGGATCCCTTGGTCCCACATGATGAAAGGAGAGAACCAGTCTCCATAAGTTGTCCTCTGACCTCACATGTGCTATAGCATGCCTGTGCCCCTCCTCCACATGTACACCCTGTACAAATAAGGAAGAATGTAAAGAAAGGCAGTCAGGACAGACGCTTCCATCTGTGATGAGAAATGAAGTGCTGAAGCCAGCACAGTGGTGCGCACACCTTTAGTCCCAGCACTCGGAGGCAGAGGCAGGTGGGTCTCTTGAGCTACTGGGTGAGTTCTGGGACAGCCAGGGCTACGTAAAGAGACCCTCCCTCTCTTGGACAAAAAAAAGCAGAGAAAGAGGAAGTACTGGCTCCAAGTCTCACTGACTGATTTTCCGGGGTGGCTTCTCTGCTGCATTTGAAACTTCCTGGCCTTGTTTTTTCTGCATTGACTCTCGACACCTGGTTCTTGTGCAGGTTTGCTGACTGGTGTAGTCGTGGACTCCGGAGATGGTGTAACTCATATTTGCCCAGTGTACGAAGGCTTTTCTCTCCCTCACCTTACAAGAAGGCTGGATATTGCTGGGAGGGATATTACCAGGTATCTTATTAAGGTAAGTGAAGGAAAATATCATAAACACTTGTGGGGTTTGTTTGTTTTTAGTTTGCTTACTGCTTACACAAAAGTCAGTGTCTTAAACAGTCGAGGGCTGGAGAGCTGGCGCTGCAGTCAAGAGCACGTGCTGCCCTTGCAGAGAGACGGTTCTCATTTTGGCCAGCTTTCCACTGCTGTAGCTCCGTGGAATCTAATGCCTTCCTCTGGACCTTTCAGGCACCAGCATTCATATGCACATACCCACACACAGACACAACACACACAATTTAAAATAATAAGGTACTTTAAAAACATTGAGTGTACAAGGTTTCTAGGATCCCCCAGTATTCCATTATTGTCCTTGATGTGGATTCCAGGGATTGCATTCAGGCGGGGACAGCAAGTACCTTTTACCTGCCCTGCATCTTAGTAGCCAACCGGGGTTTAACTTTACAGTGGAACTTACTCACGTGGATTATTAACTTGCTGATTTCTTTTTTTTTTTTTTTTTTTTTTTAATGCTAGCTGCTGCTGTTGCGAGGATATGCCTTCAACCATTCTGCTGATTTTGAGACAGTTCGCATGATTAAAGAAAAACTTTGTTACGTGGGTTACAATATTGAGCAAGAGCAGAAGCTGGCCTTAGAGACCACAGTGTTAGTTGAGTCATATACAGTAAGTATCCTGTGTAAACACATCTGTGGGTTGAAAAGGGCATCTCTGTTTATTAGCCTCACTTAATAGAGTTTTGGTTGTTTGGGTTTTGTTGTTTTGCTCTGTTTGTTGGACATCAAACCGAGGGCCTTGTGTGTGCCCAGCAGATTAGGCCCTGGCATTGGTATTTGTAGTTTGGGTTATTGTAATTTGTTTTCGTATAACTTTTAAATATCTCCTGCTACATTAAGATTCTGCGATATAATTACTGAAGATACCATGTATTGCAAATTAAAGCAAGAACTAAATTAGAATGTAATTAGAAATGGAGATATTAGTTGAGATTCTAGCATCTTTAGAATATCATTTCTCAACATGCTTTGTGCATTGTTATTTTTCTGGGATGTTATTTAAGAGTTATACAAAATAGAACACATTATAATTGTGAACTAAATTATGGATATAATTATTATCTCGTTGCTGTATGACTCCTAGCTAGGCCCTTTGATGTGCCAGTATGTATGCAGTGTGACAATCTAGTGTGCCTGTGTCTCAGATTCTTGGGTTTTTCTGAGACAGGATCTTACTGTGTATTACCGGTCCTCTTGCCTCTGCCTCCCAAATAGTGGGATTGCAATCGTGCATTCCTACGTGAACCTCAGAATTTTGTAGTATGTCATGGAGCTAATCATCTTAGAAATGTATCTTGGGACATGGTCATGCTGTGATTTTTCTCAGACAAGTTCTCCCTGGAACCCAAGCTAGGCTGGAACCCAAGCAGGTTTTAGACTTACTTTGAAATCCTTTATGTATTTTGTGAATAGTGCCAACGTAGATTCCCTTGACTTAACACTTGCTTTGCTGGGGATAGTGGCACATGCACTTGTAAGACTGAGGCAAGAGCACCATGTAAGTAATGAGACCAGCCTGATACGGGCTGCAAAACAAACAAACAAACAAAAAAGCCAAAATATCGGGGTGTAGTGAGGCACACCTTTTGTCCCAGAACTTGGGAGGCAGAGGCAGGAGATCTCCATGATACAGCCAAGGGTACATAGTGAGACCCTGTCTCAAAAGACAAAAGGCAGGCGCGGGGCGGGGGGTCTGTTAGAGACCAGCTGTGGTAGCACATGCCTTTAATTCTGGTTTTTTGGGGGAGGGGCAGAAGCAGGAGGATCTTTGAGTTTGAGGCCAGTCTAGTCTACATAGAAGTCCCAGGCTATTCAAGACTACCTAGAGAGACCCCTGTCTCCATCCCTACCCTCCAAAAAAAAAGCTAACATTCTAAGGATACAATAAAACCTACTTTATCACTTCTGACAATAACCTCCAGTTTTGTCCTGGTGGTTTCTTTCCTGAAGCTTTCCTGACAGATTTTCTAGAGATCCTCATTTTCAGTCTTAAGTGTCTGGAAGGAACTCGTACAAGGTAAACAGTGAGAGAACTAACTAACAATGTGAGACATGGTTTATGTTGGACACTGGTTGAGACAGGAGAATCATCATTGAAGGAGTTTGAGGTCGGCCTGGACTAAAAGCAAGACCATCTTAACCCCCACCTTCACCTTCCAGCACCCACAAACAAACAAACAAACAAACAAACAAACGCCAGACCTGGTGCTGCCCACTTGAGACTTCAGTAATTGCAACATGACTGGATTTGAGGTTCACCTATGCATGTAGTTTAGCCTCAGACTCCTAATAAGAGCCCGGCAGGGTGGTGCCCACCTGTAACCTCAGCACTGGGGAGGTAGAGACAGAAAGGTCATGTGGGTTACATCCTGACTCCAGAAAAAAAATGAAAACAAAGTATGTCTTCTTTCTTCCTTAAACAGTTAATGATAGCTTTCAAAAATACAGTCAAGTGTAAAACAAACTAAATGTAGGCTAGAATAAGATGTAAGAAACTTAATGCAGCTGGGTACGTCAGGCAACATCATCTGAAAAATTTTGTTTGACCTAAGAAAACATTTTAGGAAAATGTATTGCTTTAGTAATTTGGGTCACAGAACAGAGTATTTAAAAAGTCACTCTCACGGAGAACGCTAGCAAGTAGCACTGTTTGCCAGCTTGCCCTGGGTTGTTTGTTTCTAGCTTCCGGATGGACGCATCATCAAAGTTGGAGGAGAAAGGTTCGAAGCACCAGAAGCTTTATTCCAGCCTCACTTGATCAACGTGGAGGGGGTCGGTGTTGCCGAGTTACTGTTTAACACAATCCAGGCAGCTGACATCGACACCAGGTACAGTAGACAGCATTTCCAAGTCCTTTATAGGAAGTACCTGGACCACAGAGTTGGCTCAGCAGTCAGGAGCACTGGCTCCTCTTCTTCCAGAGGACTCGTGTCGGACTGCTCACAACTGTGACTCACAGCTCTGGCCTCTGGGGGCACCTGTGTTCATGTGCACATAGTGACATACAGACCCTCACACCTCAACATGGTTTAAAATAAAAATGCAATCTTTTTTTTTTTTTTTTTAAAAAAAAAGAAATGTATTGTAAATTGAATGAACAAACTTCATTGTGTTTTAGGAGGGGTGTTGTGTTGTTTTTAACCTTTAAAAATTGTATTACATTATTTGTCTGTGCACATCACATGCATGTGTGGGCCACCCATGCCATGGTGCTTGGGTAGCAATTGATTCCCTTCTACCCTGTGAGCCCCAGGGACCAAACTCATCAGACGTGGCAGCAGGCACTGTTAGAGCTGAACCATCTCTCCACCCCTCACTGTGTTTTTAATAGAGTGGTATGAGTTATATATTGCTTCTCAGAAGACTCTTTAAACATTTTTCAAAGATGCATTTATTTCTTTTTTATGTGTATGAGTGTTGGTCTACATGTATGTATGTGTACCATGTGCATACCTTGTGTCCGAGGGCATCACATTTCTTGGAACTAGAGCTACAGATGGTTGTAAGCAACCATGTAGGTCCTGGGAACCAAAATCATATCCTCTACAAGAACAAGTGCTTTTAACTGCTGAGCCACCTCTCCAGACCCCACTTTAAAGTTGTTATTTTCATTTATTTATGTGTATTAGTGTTTTACCATGGGAAGTTTCAGGTCCCCTACTGGAGTTACAGACAGTTGTGGACTGCCATGTGGGTACTGGGACTTGAACCCTGGTCCTCTGGAACAGCAGCCAGTGCTCTTAACTGCTGAGCCATCTCTCCAGCTCGTTATTATTATTATTTTTTGTTTGTTTTGTTTGTTTTTCAAGACAGGGTTTCTCTGTGTAGCTTTGCACCTTTCCTGGAACTCGCTTTGGAGACCAGGCTGGCCTTGAACTCACAGAGATCCACCTGCCTCTGCCTCCCGAGTGCTGGGATTAAAGGCGTGTGCCACCACCGCCTGGCCGTTATTTTTAAACAATTTAAAATCTACAGAAAAGTGGCAAGTCTGATATAGAATACATGTGTGCCCTTGACCTAATTTTGCTCTGTTGCTAATATTAATGTTATGTATTTGCTGTGTTAATTGCTTCTATTTTTTTTGAACCATTTGAGAATAGCTTGACTGTATAATTTCTCTTTAGCAGTTTGTATTCTTAAGAAATGATACACTTATTGTCGAGTGTGTCATTCAAGAGATTGATTATTGATACACTTATCATAATATTTCAATTTGTACAATATTCTATAGTATTACAATATTCATAGACTGTCCTGTAGTGTCCCTTATACAGCTGTCTTCTGTCTGGTGACTCATGCATATTTAGTCATTTCTCTTCATTGTTCTTTTTTTAGTCCAGCTCATGGTATTGACATCTTTGCAAAGTTCAGACTAGTTATTTTAGATTTCTTTAAACTTGGGCTTTTATATTTTCTCATAATTCAGGTGTATAGTTTTGACTAGAATACTCTGCATATGGTCTGTCCCGGGACATCACGTCCAGGAGTGATATTTCTTATTGATGATATAAATGCTCTTACTGAAGCTTTACTTGAAGTTCACTGTTCCAGTGAATGGTCTACTTGTCCCTTTCCTCAGCACACTCTGCCCCTCTAACATCCATTGATTAATCTTGCCTAAGTTCATTTCTATTACCAGTTACTATTTTTCCCCTTAACATATATCTGCTTTTTGGATTTAGTTACAGTACTTGACTAGCATACATGAAACCTTGGATTTGATCCACAGCACAACATGTGTTTTAGTTTTACTACATTTTTATTTACTTATTTAGTGTGTGGGGGGGGGGG